TGGTCAGCTGGTGACTGTGTTTGGAGAGTGAGTCTGTGACAAAATTGGCTTCTCGGAGAGTATGACTGCATTTGAAGTGTGTGAATTGAGTGGTAAGGTGTTGAAGCTTTTGCACATGGGCTGAGATGGACCATGGAGCTGTTGTGCTGCTCATAAGCCAGTCTACTTGAAGCTGGGAGTCAACCTCAAGGATTACCTTCTTATATTTCAAGTGTACGCACCATGATAAACCAAATATAGGCGTTTCTACCTCAGCTTGGTTGTTTGTTCCTTCGCCTAATGGAGCTGAAAAGGCAAAGATAATATCTCCAAAATGATTCCTAAGAATCCCCCCTGCACCTGTGCTGCCCGGATTGGACAGTGCACTCCCATCAGTGTTTAGTTTAGTCCGTTTGTCCGGGAGTTTAATCCAATGGACAACAGTCACCTTGATGTCGTGGGTACACTTCTTAATAAGTGTACATAGCTTGCTCCATTCCCATGGCCAAGATATATAGGGGAAGACTGTATGCAGCGGTTTGAAGGTGTCTAAAATCACAAGATGTTTGACCCTTGCAATGTTGGACTGTTTTCCCCCATACTTTTAAGCGCACCTATTTTCCATAAATTCCAACAAATAAAGATTGGAGTAGATTGTAGGATGAGTTTGTGTGCTTCATTGTTATGATTCGAACTCCACCACCTCATGATCATATTTCTTAGAGGTAAGTGATTAGTTTGAATGCCTAACGCGACTGCAAAAACCTTCCTAAAATTCTTGGCAAAATTCCCTGAATTAAAGATGTGTTCGATGGTATCTGTACCTAGAGAGTGACAACAATGACATTCACTTGGTTCGATTCCAAAGCTTGCAATCTTCTCATTAGTTAGGAGTTTTCCTCTGATTTCTCTCCAAAGCAAAAAGGAACATTTGAACAGGATAATTTTTTGCCAGCTATAGGTGTTGATCTTGGTTTTTTCCCTTTTATCTCTAATGCAATTCAAGGCAGATGACACAGAGAACAGGCCATTGGTATTGGGAGTCCACACTGCCAGATCAGGCTGTCCATTTTGAAGGTGTAGCTGAGTAGAGAGGATATTATGTACCTGGCATGAAGGGGCTGTCTGGATCACCTTATTCATTTTCCACTGACCTTCCTCGATAAATTCAGAGATTGATTCGTTGTTGAACCTGTTGCTAGCAGTGGTGTATTGAGCCAAGGGGCCTACTCCTAACCAGTTATCCCACCAAAAAGAACAAGACTCATTTCTGATTTTCCATTGAATGTGACTTTCCACAGTGTGTTTGTTCTTCATCATCAATCTCCAAGCTTGGGATTCTCCAGTTTCCCATTTTTTACTTATAGGATTGGATCTTTGGCAATACTTTGCCCTTAGAAATTCCCCCTACAGTGTTTGCTTGGATCTAAATGTCCACCATTGCTTGAATTGGAATGCTCGACACACATCACTCATAAGTCGAACTCTAATTCCTCCTTCATCATAGGGAAAACTTAGGTTCTTTCATGAGGACCAATGGTAATTTTTCTTGTCATTCCTCCACCCCCAGAAAAAGATAGCCATAATGCCTTGGATTTGCTTTATAACAGTTGAAGGGTGTGGAAGTAGCTGCGAGAATGTGGATAGGGAGTGATTGTAGCACATGCTTAATCAATGTTACTTTGCCCCCATAACTCAATATTTTTGATTGCCATCCTGTGATTCTATTAACTACCTTGTTGATGAGCTCTGAGAAGTAGATTATCCTAGGCCTGCCAACAAATGAAGAGCATCCTAGGTATGTGAGAGGAGCTTCTTTCTGATGAAATCCCATATATTTTCTGACCCTGTCACTGGTGGTTCTGAAGGCATTGGAGTGAAGCGTAAAATGACTTTTTGCTTTGTTAACGAGCTGGCCAGAAATCTTGTCATAAGTAGTCAAGGTATGCATAATAAGTTTGAGAGATTGTTTCCTCCCCAAGGTGAATATAATGATTCCATCTACAAAGCTCAGATGATTAATCTGAGGACCCCTCCTTTCCATATGGAAACCATGGTATAGGGGATCTGGAAAAGTCTATTCAAGGACCTTGACAGTAACTCAACACCTAAAATAAATAGGGCTGGGGATAGGGGATTTCCCTGTTTAAGGCCTCTGGTGGAATGGAAGAAGCCATGTCTCTTGCCATTAATAATAATAGAGTACCAATTATTTGCCATAATTCTCCAAACCATGTCTATGAAGACTTCATCAAAACCTATTTTTCGGAGGACTAGACAAATATATGACCAAGAGACCCTGTCATAAGCTTTTGCCATATCAAGTTTGATTACTACATTGCTTCCGATATTGGGTTGTTTGAGTTGGTGGATAATTTCTTGGGCCAACATTATGTTCTCAAAAATGCTCCTACCATTAACTAAGCCGGATTGATTAGGGGAAATCAAGCTAGGTAAAATAGGAGCCAGTCTGAGACATAATAACTTAGAAATAATCTTGTTGGTGAAGTTGCTCAGGCTGATGGATCTAAACTCAGTAAGTTTATTGGGATTTTTCACCTTGGGAAGAAGAACTAAGCAAGCATGTGAGAAGTATATGGGGAGCATTTGACCACTGAAAAATGCATGAATAACTGCCAGCAAGTCTGTTTTGATGATACTCCAACATTTCTGGAAAAAACATCCATTCATTCCATCAGGTCCAGCAGCTGAGTTAGGATTCATGGAATAGCCTACCTCCTTTAGTTCCTCCATAGTTGGTAACTCCTTCATCCTATCATTATGCTCCTGATTGACCATTCTTGGAATACAATTAATGGGAATTTCATCAATAAATTTTTCCTCTCCTGTGAAGATATTCTGAAAGTGTTCACAGGCAGCCTTAGCAATGTGCTCATCACCCTGTACCCAGTCAACATTGTCATTGAGGATTTTGTGAATAACCAACCTTCTTCTTCTTCCTCTAATCAATGCATGAAAGTACTTTGAATTACTGTCCCCTTCTCTAAACCAATGCAACTGAGTTTTTTGTTTAAGAATAGAGTCTTCCATCTTCATGAATCTGATATATTCTGCATTAATACCATGAAGTTCTGCCCTCTGCTCCCCTGTGTTATTGTGGATGAGATTGTCTTCTGCCTCATTGACTCTTGATTCAAAGTCTTTGACCTTAGCATAGATATCTCCAAATTGCATTTTAGACCATGTACTGAGAGTAGATGCAAGTCTCTTCATTTTTTGATGAAAGGTCCACTTGGGATTTCCTTCTATAGGCCTTTTCCAGTAGTTTGTAACAGTCTCTGTAAAAGAAGGTTGATCAGCCCAACAATTGAGAAATCTGAAATAATTAATGTGATTTTCAGGCCTGGCATTCATTTCCATCAGAAGTGGACAATGATCAGATCCCATGAGGGGAGATGAGTAATGCTAGTATGAGGCATATCCTTCAACCATCTATCATTAACCATAGCCCTGTCCAACCTTTTCTAGATTCTGAAATTAATACCCCTTTGATTAGACCAGGTGAATCTAGATCCATTAAACCCCAAATCCATGAGTCCACAAGTTTCAATAACTACAATAAATTCTAAGCTTTTTCTCATGTTATAAGGGATGCCACCCAACTTTTCATCAGTATAAGTTATAACATTAAAATCCCCCACTGCACACCAAGGAATGGTATCCTTTGTATCAGCAAGGTGAAGTATCCTATCCCAAAGAGGTTTTCTGAGATAGTCTTTACATTTGGCATACACAAAAGTATTGATATAGGTCTCTAGAGCTTCTGTGTGGGTGAGCTCACAAGAAATTTGTTGTTCATCAGCTTCAAACACATTACAAGTGATCTCATTAGTCCAAAACAGCCAGATTTTTCCATTGATGTTACTAACTGCATGATCCATGGCAAGCATACTCTTAAACATATTTATCTGGGTACTGTCAGAGAATGGTTCCAAAATTGCAATCATCGACACTTGATGCATATTTTTGAGTCTTTCTATAACACCTTGGGTATTTATTCCTCTAGCATTCCATATGATTGTACTAATCATTGAGATGATTTAGAGGTGAAAAGTCTAGTATTTGGTCTTCCTGCAGTTACAGGAATGGGTGGAGATGGTTTTTTGAGAGGAAGCCTTTCCAGGTGTATGCCCCTAGTAGAGAGTCCTTGTTTGTTGGTGACCTATTGTAGCTTCTTGTCTAATTTTGTGTCTTTGTTAGGGCTAAAATCTTTGATAAGTAGCTCACTAACTTCATCATCATCATCTTGAGCATTTTACAGGTAGAGTATCATCATCAATTTCATATTTAGAATTTTCCACTTCATACTCATCTCTTACACTATCTTGGTTTGATCAGGAGGTTTTCTAGGAGTAGTTGTGTTGAGCTTTAAGAGGAACTACATCCATTACTTGCTCCACCATGATGAATTTTTTACGTGGTTTAATCCTTCTTGATGGTTGTCATTAGCATTTAGGATTTTGGGTTTAGGTTTTAGGGTTTAGGGTTTTGGGTTTATAGTTTCGGATTTAGGATTTTGGGTTTCGGCTTTAGGGTTATGATTTTTGGTTTAGGTTTTAGAGTTTAGGATTTAGGGTTTAGGGTTTAGGGTTTTTTTTTAATACCCTTAGAGGGGTAGGGGCTGAGCAACACCCCCAGACCTTAGCATTCATAAGAAAAACAAAAATGCATAGAGGGGGACATAAACCTTACCTCCGCTTAATGGTGGTGCAAGAGTTGGTAGCCTACTAAGTATTCTTAGTAGGTTCTCCAACTCTTCCCCAAACAAAAAAGAAACCTATCTTCTATGCACCTATGTGAGAGGACTCCTCTCGATACATGGAATCTAGGAAAGCATAAATGAGGGAGACTCTCCCTTTACAAGTAAAGCAAAAGAAAAGACTCCATTAAGGACTATCCTAACAAGTGTGTAGTCAAAGTGATGATGATAGGATGATCATCAGAAGAAGGATTGAAAGGAGTTCAAGCTCCTTGCAAAGCCTTCTCATAGCCGGGGTGGATTAAGGAGGTTCTTTAATTCTCTTCAACTTCCTTCTTCTGAAACTTGCCATGCCTGCCATGTCTTGTTGAAGGTATGCTGCTGCTGTCTTGGGGAGCTGTTGAGTGTTGAAATAAATCATTGGACTGGTCAGCTGATGACTGTGTTTGGAGAGTGTGTCCGCTACAAAGTTGGCCTCTCGAAGTGTATGGATACACTTAATTTGAGGGAAATTGGAGGAGAGTTGTTGCAGCCTTTGCATCTGCGAAGAAATGGACCAAGGACTTATTTGTTTGTTCAAAAAATAGTCCACAAGAAGTTGGGAGTCAACTTCCAGGATAACCTTGTTGTAATTCAATTGAGCACACCAAGTTAAGCCAAATAATGCCGCCTCGACTTCAGCCTGATTGTTGGTGCCTTCGCCTAATGGGACTGAGAAAGCAAGGAGGAGTTCTCCCATGTGATTTCTGAGAACACCACCCGCTCCTATGCTGCCTGGGTTATTCAATGCACTCCCATCGGTGTTCAATTTAACCCATTTTTCTGGTGGTTTAATCCACTGGACTGCAGTAACCTTGCTGTTGTGGATGCAATTTTCCAGCAGTTTGCACAAGCTGCTCCAGTTCAAAGGCCAAGAAATGTATGGAAAAACAGTGTGCAGCAGCTTGAAGGTGTCCAAGATTACAAGATGTTTGACCCTTGCAATATTTGATTGTTTACCTCCATATTTCTTTGCACACTGATTTTTCCACAAATTCCAACAAATAAAGATTGGAGTGGCTTGAAGAATACTTTTGTGGGCTTCATTATGATGAGGGATACTCCACCACCTCATGATCATGCTTCTCAAAGGCAGAAAATCAGTGGGTATACCCAAGGGGATGGCAAAAAATTTCCATACATTATTTGCCAAGTTCCCTGAATTAAAAATGTGATCAATTGTATCAGCACCTGGAGAATGACAACAATAACACTCACTTGGTTCAATGCCAAAGCTGACCAGCTTCTCATTGGTAGGAATTTTACCCCTTATTGTTCTCCATAACAAGAATGAGCATTTGAAAGGGATGTTTCGATTCCAAGTGTAGGAATTAAACTTGGTTTTTGTTCTCTTTTCTCGAATGATATCCCAGGCAGAAGAGATAGTAAAGAGGCCATTTGCGTTGAGATTCCAAACAGCCTGGTCAGAACTGGTATGCTGAAGTTGTAGGGTAGTTGACAGAATCTTGTGTAGATGGTTCTGAGGAGCAAATTGATTCAGTTTGTCCACATTCCACTGCCCGTTTGTCGTAAAGTCAGCGATGGTTTCATTGTCAAATCTATGGCTAGTAGTAGTGAATTGCGCCAGTGATCCTATACCTAACCAGTTGTCCCACCAAAATGAAGAAGAACCATTTCTGATTTTCCATTAGATATGCTTCTCCACTCTATGTTTGTTCCTCATAAGCAGCTTCCAAGCTTGGGATTCTCCCATATCCCATTTTTTGCTTATGGGATTTGATCTTTGGCAGTATTTTGCTCTTAGAAAGTCTCCCCAAAGAGTTTGCTTGGTTCTAAAGATCCACCAATGTTTGAATTGGAAAGCTTGACAAATATCACTCATTTGTCTTACTCCAATTCCCCCTTCATCATAGGGAAGGCTGAGATTCTTCCATGACGACCAATGATATTTTTTCTTGTCTTCCCTCCATCCCCAAAAGAAGTCAGCCAAGATACTTTGGATCTTTTTGAGTGTAGTAGAAAGGGGGGAAATGGCCGATAGAATATCAATAGGCATGGATTGTAGGACATGCTTAATTAAGGTGGCTTTGCCCCCATAACTTAGCATCTTAGATTGCCAGCCAGTGATTCTATTCACAATCTTATTGATGAGATCAGAAAAATAAGTAAGTTTGGGCCTTTCAATAAAGAGTGGACAACCAAGATAAGTAATAGGAGCTTCTTTTTGATGAAATCCAGTGTATCTTTTGATTCTATCACAAGTAGTTTTGAAGGCATTAGGATGGAGTAGAAAGTGACTCTTGGCTTTGTTGATCAGTTGACCAGAGATCCTTTCATATGTAGCCAATGTCTGCATGATGAGTTTGAGAGAATCCTTTCTCCCAGAAGTGAAGATTATGATGTCATCCGCAAAACTCAAGTGGTTAATTTGAGGTCCTCTCATTTCCATATAGAATCCATGGTATAGAGGATGTTGATGGAGTCTGTTTAATGATCTAGATAACACCTCAGCACCTGAAATAAATAGGGCTGGGGATAATGGATCACCTTGTTTAAGACCTCTAGTTGATTGGAAAAAACCATATCTTCTACCATTAAGAATGATAGAGTACCAATTGTTGGCCATAATTCTCCAAATAATGTCAATGAAAATCTCCTTAAAGCCCATTTTTCTCAAGATTAAACAAATATAAGACCAAGAAACCCTATCGTAAGCTTTTTCCATGTCAAGCTTAATCACGACATTACTTCCAATAGTAGGTTTCTTAATTTGATGGATAATTTCTTGAGCTAACATAATGTTTTCTGATATACTTCTATCTTTGACAAAGCCTGATTGATTTGGAGAAATCAAGGTAGGTAATATAGGAGTTAATCTGATACATAATAGCTTCGAAATAATCTTGGTTGTGAAGTTACTCAAGCTGATGGGTCTGAATTCATTAAGTCTGTTAGGGTTCTTCACTTTGGGAAGGAGAACAAGACAAGCATGTGAAAAATATTTAGGGATCATCTGGCCACTGAAAAAAGCAAGAATTACAGCCATCAAGTCATTTTTGATAATGTTCCAGCATTTTTGGAAGAAACATCCATTCATACCATCCGGCCCCGCAGCTGAATTGGGATTCATTGAGTGAACAACCTCTTTAAGTTCATCAATGGTAGGAAGTTCTTTCAGTCTGTCTTTGTGTTCCTGGCTAACCATTCTTGGAATACAGTTCATTGGAATTTCATCCACGATTTTTTCCTCTCCTGAAAAAATATGCTGAAAGTGAGTACATGCAGCCTGTGCTATATGCTCATCACCTTGTATCCATTCATCATCATCATTGAGTATTTTGTGAATAAAAAGTCTTCTTCTCCTTCCTCTAATCAAAGCATGGAAGTATTTGGAATTGCTGTCTCCTTCTTTAAACCATTGTAGTTGAGATTTTTGTTTAAGAATAGAGTCTTCCAGTTTCATGTATCTAATATATTCAGCATTAATACCATGAAGTTCCTCTCTATGCTTCTCAGTGTTACTTTGTAGGAGATTGTCTTCTGCCACCTTGACTCTTTCCTCAAACTCCTTAACTTTAACATAAATGTCACCAAATTGCATCTTCGACCAAGCTCTAAGAGTAGAAGCCAATCTCTTAATTTTTTGATGGAAGGTCCACATTGGATTTCCTTCAACAGGTCTGTTCCAGCAGGCATTGACTGTCTCTATAAATGACGGTTGTTCAACCCAAAAATTAAGGAACCTGAAGTATTTGATGCAGTTGTGTGGCCTTGCCTTCATTTCCAGGAGTAATGGACAGTGATCAGACCCCACAGAAGGGAGGTGAGTAATGCTAGTGTGAGGCATGTTTTGCAACCACTTATCATTAACCATAGCCCTATCCAATCTCTTCCAAATTCTGAAATTGACGCCTCTTTGATTAGACCAAGTGAATTTGGGTCCATTAAAACCTAAGTCCATAAGTCCACATGCTTCAATAACTCCAATGAACTCTACACTTTTTCTCATATTGTAAGGAATACCACCCAATTTTTCATCAATATCAATTATAACATTAAAGTCACCAACTGTGCACCAAGGAATGGTATCTCTACTATCAGAAATATGAAGTAATCTGTCCCAGAGAGGCCTCCTGAGATAATCTTTACATTTAGCATACACGAAAGTCTTGATATAAGTACCCTGAATATCTGTGTGGCTAATTTCACACGTAATCTGTTGTTCATCAGTTTCTAACACTGTGCAAATAATATCAGTGTTCCAAAAGAGCCAAATTTTTCCATTAATGTTACTAGTAGCATGATCCATGACAAACATACTTTTAAACGTGTTGATCTGGCTGTTGTTTGAGAAGGGTTCTAACACCGCAATCATAGAAATTTGATGGATATTTTTGAGGTTTTTGAGTCTTTCAATAGCACCTTGGGTATTGATTCCTCTAGCATTCCATATGATTGTACTAATCATTGGGATGATCTAGAGGTGAAGAGTCTAGTGTTTGGTCTTCCTGCTGTCACAGGAATAGAAGAAACAGGTTGTTTAAGGGGTAGTCTGGTAAGGTGGATGCTTCTGGGGGAGAGGCCTTGTGTGTTAGTGATATGTTAAAGTTCTTTTTCAAATCCATTGTCATTGTTGGGGCTGAAAGCTTTGATGAGTGATTCACTAATCTCATCATCTTCATCTTGGTCATTTATAGGCAACTGATCAGCATCAATTTCATCTTCTGAATTATCCACTTCGTACTCATCTCTAACTGTGACCTTGGACTGATCTGGGGGCTTTCCAGTAGTAGGGGTGGCATATTTAGCTTTGAGGGGAGCCACATCCATAATCTGATCCATCATTATAAAGTCTTTGCAAGGATTTTCTTCAGGATGACTGTCCTTGGGAGCCTGTTCTGCCTGTTTTCTCTTGGTAGATTCCCTCTTTTTTTTGCTAGGTTTATTCTTACTTTTAGGAGTATGAATCTGATTACTTGTGCCTGCCTTGTTTCCCATATCCATGGCCATAGAACCTTTTGGCTGATTGACACAATCCTTACTGATATGAACCTGTTGATTAGGTGTATCTCTGCCTTTTTCCTTGGATTGGTGAACCTTTGTTTGGTGGTGAGGAGTATCATTAGGAGTGGTAGCAGGGGCCTGATTAATCACCCTTCCCCTAGGAACCCCTTCCTGCAAGTTAAAGGTTTTCTCCTGCACATCCAACCTCCCTCCGATAACTTCAGCAGCTACAACCAGTGGGGATACAGGGGCAGGGACATCATTGTCATCACAATGATCATCAACATCAACAATTACAGGGGATGGGGGTGTTGAAATCTGATCACCAGATTTCTCGTCTACATACACAGGTGAGTTAGAGGTCATACCTGCTTGCTGCAATTTTTGTTGCTCCTTTATGCTGTTGGCCTGCTATTTTTTGTACCTGAGGATAAAATTCTTTTCCTTGTTCTTGGTTTTGCTGATGATGCTTATTCTTCTTTTTGGTTTGAACTTGCCATTGCTTATCCTTGTTGGATTTATTGTTGGTATTATTCTTCTCTGTATGCTTCCAGTCAGTAGCTTGTTGGTATGGTTGCTTTTTCTCCTTGGTTTGAGCCTGTGATTGAATACCTTTAGTATGTTGATTGCTCTGTTTTTCCTGACTTTTCTTTGCAGCCTCCTGATCTTTGTTTTTCTTGATCTCATCATCTTTTTCTTTCAAGGAGCATTCTCCAATAACATGGCCATGATGTTTACAATATAGACAATAAGATGGAACATCTTCATATTCAATTCTTGCCATTTGCCCAAGTTAGGGTCCTTTTCAGAAAAGCCCAACCAAACATGTTGAGGTCTTTCTCTAGTGATGTCAATTTGAACTCTAACCTTAGCAACACTTCCCCTAGTTTTTTGCATTGTTGCCGAGTCCATATATAAGGCTTTACCAATAGGGGACAGCAGGGGAGTTAGAATATCCATGTAATGGCAGTGCCAAGGAAGTTCCGGCAAGGTAATCCAAATAGGTACTATGGGTGTCTCCTCCACAGGTTTGAAAGTTGGAGTCCACATTTGTAACTTCATCGACTGACCTTCAATATACATCTTTTGCTTGGTCCATACAGAAATATGATCAGCTTCATTATCCAAGTCAATTTAAATATGCCTTGAATTAAAATGAGCTATCTTGACACCACCCGTAAGTTGAGTTTGGGCAATAAAAATCATTCTAATGGCTTCCATTTTAGGCATAGCATTGATGAATTTGCCAACCAAGGTGTACTTACATCTCCCCGGCATCTTACCTAGGAAATCCTCTTCATAGAAAGTACTAGAAGGATAACCTTGACGAGTTGTAATAATAGGCTGATCAATGATCAGTGGTGTTGCATTTTTCAGCTGGTTAGCTCGAAGTCTGGTTGCAAGAGATTGAGACATAGTGGGGGGAGCCAGGTCAGGGATTTGAAGATTGTTATTCCTGTTTATAGAATTGTTGACAGGAAGTTTTTGTACATTTTGTTCAAGGTTGTTTTGGGTGGTTTTTTGCTGAACAGGTCGATAAACATCAAAGTTGGAGGAAATTTTTATGGGTGGAGGAATTATAGAACTCATTTGGTTATGATCATTATGGATATTCTTTTCTTGTGGTGCAACTTTACCCTCCCTACTAGCCTGCATCAAAGAATCACCTTTCTCACGCTCATTTTGATTGCTATTTTGATTATTAGGCAGGAACTTAGTATTAGGATTATTATTTTGATCAAGGTTAACTGACTTACTTGCCTCCGTGCTGCTTATGTTTTGTTGATTCCTTCCGTCCTCCTTGCTTTGTTGTATTGTATTATTTCTAGGATTGTTATTGTCCTTCACTTTCTAGATGACTTTCTCCCCATTATTGTGTTGATTAGTCATTGAATTTCTGGCCTGTTCCATAGTCTTTGGCATAGTCCATTCCTGGTTTTGCTTAGCTGCTACAGCTTGATCAACCTGCGTTTTTCCATGGGCATTTTCATCTGTGATTACCTGGGTGTTCCTGGGCATTTGTTCTTGATTCACAAATTCCACTCTTTGATATGGGGTATGCTCATTGTTTAGATTGTTTCCTTGGTTCAACATACTCATCCTCCTGATTGATTCTCGTTCTTCTTCACTGTTTTGCTCCTCTGCTTGTGCTGCAGCATTGCCCTGTATATTGGAAGAATTGCAAATGTTATTCTCTTGTTGATTAAGTGGTGTTGTTACCTCAGGGGTGTCTTCCTTGTCGCATTGAGTCATTTGTTGTATAGTATTATTTTCATTGTTGATCGGAGCTCCGGTAGCTTTATCGGAATTAGTATCGCCGGCGATTGCACCGTCAAAATGATCCAAATTTTCAGTAGGATGAACTCTAGGACCTGGGGAAGATTCCCTATTGGTCGAAATATCATTAACTTCACCGGAAGATGTTCGACTTTGACGGCGCGTCTGAGACGAGTTCGCGGCGATTTCACCAGAAATCGCCTTCACAAATCTCTCGATTTGATCGATGGAATCATTTGATTTTTGGTTTGTAACTAGATCTTTAGATGGAGATTCATTATTCCTGGTTGAATTAACATGAATCAAACCAGATTGCTCTAAGGATATAATTTTGCGAGCCCAGTCCAATTCCTCTTCCGAAATCGCGACATGGATCGCCTCAATGCGCCGCAATTTCGAAGAATTGTCTGAAGATTCTGGTGAAGCGCCCTGTTGGGGTTTGTAGCTGTTGGGATTGCGCGTCGGATGAGCTTGGTCCTGCAGTCGAAGCTGCTGTTCCGGCGGCTCTATGGCCATTCCGGTGGACTGTTGTTCCTTAAGCCTTAGAGAGAATTTTTAGAGAGAGAATTTTTAGAGAGAAAATTTTTAGAGAGAGAAAAAATTCAAGAAATGGGGTGGCGATGGGGTTTAGGGTTTGGATTTGGGATTTAGGGTTTAGGTTTAGGGTTTAAGGTTTAGGGTTTAGACTTTAGGGTTGAGGGTTTAGGGTTTAGGGTTTAGGGCTTAGGGCTTAGGGTTTATAGTTTAGAGTTTAGAGTATATGGTTTATGGTTAAGAGTTGAGAGTTTAGGGTGTAGGGTTTTAAATTTAGGGTTTAGGTTTTAGGGTTTAGGATGTAGGGTTTAGGGTTTATGGTTTAGGATTTACTGTTTATGGTTTAGGGTTAAGGATTTAGGGTTTTAGGGTTTAGGGTTTTAGGGTTTAGGGTTTAGGTTTAGGGTTAGTTTTATGGTGCAGGGTTTTGGTTTTAAAGTTTAACGTTTCGAATTTAGGATTTAGGGTTTATTTTCTAGGGTTTGAGTTTAGGGTTTAGGGTTTTGGGTTTTGAGTTATAGGTTTAAGATTTAGGAGGTTAGGATTTAGGCTTTAGGGTCTAGGGTTTAGAGTTTAGGGTTTAATGTTTAGGATTTAGGGTTTAGGGTTTTTGCTTAGCATTTAGGATTTAGGTTTTAGGGTTTAGGGTTTAGAGTTTGGGATTTAGGGCTTAGGGTTTCGAGTTTAGGGTTTGGATTTATTGTTTAGCTTTGAGGGTTTAGGGTTTTGAGATTAGAGGTTATGGTTAAGGGTTTAGGGATTAAATTTTAGGGATTATGGTTTTGGATTTAGTGTTTCAAGTTAAAGGTTGGGGGTTTAGGGTTTAGCATTGAGGTTTTAGGGTTTAGGGTTTTAAGTTGTAGGTTTAGGGTTTATATGTTAGGGTTTAAGGTTAGGATTCAGGGTTTTATGGTGTAAGATTTAGGGATTAGGGTTTAGTGTTTAGGGTTTAGGTTTTAGGGTTTAAGGTTTCGAGTTTTACCTTTACAGTTTAAATTTTAGGGTTTGAGGTTTTTGGGTTAGGGTTTACAGTTTAGAGTTGCAGGTTTAGGGTTTAAGTTATATGGTTTTGGTTTTAGGGTGTAGGGTTTAGAGTTTAGGGTTTTAGGGTTAGGATTTAGGATTCAGGGTTTGGGGTTTAGATTTACGGTTTATGATTTAGGCTTAGGTTTAGGGTTTTGAGGTTTAGGGTTTTTTGCTTCGGGTTTAGGGTTAAAAGTTTGCAGTTTAGGCTTTAAGTTTTAGGGTTTTGAGCTTAGGGTTTTGGGTATTTGACTTAGTGTTTTTGGTTGTAGGTTTAGGGTTAACGGTTTCGAGTTGTAGGTTTAAGGTTTAGGGGTTTGGATTTAGGGTTTAGGGTTTAGAGTTTAGGATGTATGGTTTAGGCTTTAGGTTTTAGGGTTTAGGGTTTCAAGTTGTGGGTTTGGGGTTTAGAGGTTAGGGTTTAAGGGTTAGGATTCAGGGTTTAGGGTTAGGGTTTAGCTTTAAGGTGTA